GGAGAGGGTGTAGTTGCCCCTACTGCCCTCTGCACTGTGTACAGTGTACAGCCCTGTTAGATGTGTATTATGTTTGACTTTAGAATCTTATTTACTATTATATTATAATAAGTGATAAAATTTTTCAATTGTCCCATGTCATCTTCATTATTCAGTTCCTTTCAAGAAAATACAAAATGTGAATCACTTTTTTCGTAGATACATGTACGCGTCGCGTACCTATTTTTTCTAATCGTACCCGCTTTGACGTTGTATCGGATAGGATTAGAACTAATCCTACCTGACATGATGTAAAATCGGGTAGGATTAGAAAAATTGAATATAATGAGGTGTATTAGTTTTTAATTGCCCTGCGAGAACAAAGGGAATACCCGCAATCATGCAGATATTATATGTTTAAACCGCATACTTGAGTATAAGTATGTGTTATCCAAACATATGTTATTTTTTCATGTATATATATTTTTCGCAAATATTATAAGTATACCATTGCTTCGCGCACACTTTGGAGTTTTCCACAGAGTTCATATTGCACACGTGCACGTCTTTTTGGACTCGTGCAAATTTGCTAGTCTTTGGCAAAACCTCTCTTGTGCAGGTCTTTTCTCCAAATTTCACGAGAAACTAGACTATATACTAACAGCAATTGCAGCAGAAAGGTTCACGTTGTCAGAGTCTTAAATCTCCAGGTGATGGAAAGCAATGTCACTTATATAGGGAATATGTTATAATTAGTTTTTCTCCTGTTTCTATTCGAATTTTTACTGAAAGAATCCGCGGGCATGCATGGATGCATGGTCTCGGGTTTGATGATTACCTATATTTATATATGCCCCTGTTCAATCTTAGATCCCAAAATTTGCTACAAATACTACAATGTATAGTCTGCAATAAATTTGTAAATATTGACATGGGAAATTCACCCGTTACCTGTAGCTTACAAGATAATTCAAACAATGATATTAAACATTTAATATCTGATAACAGTCTGAAATTATACCAATATTACTTTGTGGTGACATTTGTTCATCCCTAGTAATGATTTCAATAACTATTTCTAGAACGTGTTCACTAACCATAGAATGGTTTCTGCCTCCCAACAATATTGAAGATATTGCATGGTTTAAGGAGTCTGGTTTTCCAAAACTGCTACATATACAAATTAAATACGTAAACCTGATTGACACTTGTGGTATTCATCACGATCTGTGACCTGAAACTAACAATATTCTTAGGATAATTTTTGCGATAAACGACCGCCATTATCATATAAATTCTTCACTAAAACATTTGTTGCCACATGTTTGTTGGATTTTAGTTATGTTTGAACAGGGTATGCCTTTGTTTTATATTTAATTCACTCAAAAATTCGATAAAATAGACACTTCCCGAATTTGCTTGAGTGCACACGAAACAATAGCTTGGAATCGAGGCGGACAATGTAATCCATTGGAAATAAGTATAGTTTTCCACGTCCCACCTCGCGTTCAACCATATAGTGGCCCTGCACGAACGAGGTTCCAAACTACCTGCTTGCATGTTCTCACATTTTATGATTTACAACCGATCGCATAATACTATTTACTTTTCACACCTCGGGTTATCCAATTAAGTGGCCGAATCTGAAACCTGCAGTTGTGCTACTGGATCGAATATTAGAAGAAAGCAAGGAAGAACCAAGTCAGTTACCTGATTCTCTGATGAAAAATTTGGAGGTAAAAGATTCTCATGCTCGGACAATGTTACACTACTCAGTAATTCTTAAACATTGCTTTATTGTACGCAGTCGAACGGGGCAGCGACACCGCTGTTGAAAAGCTTCTTCACTCAAATGCCAGTGTAGAAGAGGAAGATGATGAAGGACGGACAGTTTTGCATCTTGCTGTACAACATGATCGGAAAATGTTGCTTGATCTACTGTTAGAGTATAAGGAAAATTTGAACAATCTCGACAGTAAAGGCAAATCAGCTTTGCATTATGCTTTAGAGAATGCTTTAGGAACAGGTGACCCAAATATGGCTTGCTGGAGCGAAAGGGTCTTTGTTAAAGTACGAACAAGGACGGACGTTGTTGCATTATTCTGTACTTCAGAACAATCTTGACGGTCTTGATGTTTTGATAGAATGTCACGTGAGTTTGAATGATGTTGATGATGAAGGTGAAACGGCTTTGCACTATGCTGTAAAATCTGAAAATACCGATGCTGTGAAAAAGCTGCTTGAAGGCGGAGCTGAGGTGAATATTAAAAATTATGGATTACATTGTCCGCCTCGAT